TCTTTATTATAATACAAAAATTAATAAAATAATTATAATGAAACACCATATATAATAAAAGACACTGTCGGGATTTCGATACAGTCGGGATTTCGATATAGTCGGGATTATGGTTGTCGGAATTTTGATATAGTCGGGATTTCGAATGTCGGGATTTTGATACAGTCGCGATTTCGAACGTCTGGATTTCGATTGCCAAATGGCTAGGGTTTTTCTTTAATTGTCAGCTTTAAAAATATAATTTGAGAATCGATAAATAAATTGGATCGTCAAATACAAAAAAATAGGAACTGCTGTTCCTTCGATTTTCCTTAATGTCCGGAAATTATTTCAGCCATGGGACCCGATGCGCCGGAGAGGTGGCCGCTGCCAGGGATAACGGAATTTGCGGAGTCGGTGTGGCCTACGACTCGAAGATTGCAGGTAACTTATATTTCATAATTGAATCTCCAAAGAAGTGTATTGATCGACGAGTTTTTTTTTCTTTCTTTCTCTGTTTCGAAGGAATTCGAATGCTGGACCAACCCTACATGACCGATCTGATCGAGGCGAACTCCATGGGCCACGAGCCGAACTTGATCGATATATACAGCGCTTCCTGGGGCCCCACCGACGATGGGAAGACCGTGGACGGGCCGAGGAATGCGACGATGAGAGCTATAGTCCGTGGCGTCAACGAAGGTCGCGGCGGATTGGGCAACATCTACGTCTGGGCGAGCGGCGACGGTGGTGAAGATGACGATTGCAATTGTGATGGGTACGCCGCGAGCATGTGGACGATCAGCATTAACAGCGCAATCAACGATGGACAGAATGCCCATTACGATGAAAGCTGTTCATCCACTTTGGCATCGACTTTCAGCAACGGCGCCAAAGACCCGAACACCGGAGTGGTAAGTTTTTGCTTTTTGCGCAAAAGTTTTAATTACAAGAGTTAATGAACAACTTGCATCGTGTAATTGAAATTTAGTTTCGAGAGATTTAATCAAAAAAGTTTCACTTCGCCTGTGATGTGTGTAATCCTATCAAACTGCGAGGAATAGTAATGTTTTTGTGTTTCTTTTTGTAGGCCACCACCGATCTTTACGGGAAATGTACGACGACCCACTCGGGTACATCGGCTGCCGCCCCCGAAGCCGCCGGCGTCTTTGCTTTGGCATTGGAAGCCAAGTAAGTATTTGCACGTTACATAATTATTTCCGCAAACAACGGAGCACCCACGGCTTTAATCAAACTGCATTGTTTGTATACTTGCAACTCGAGGTTTTCCCCGTCTTTGTGTATTTTCAAAAGAAAATTGTATAGCAGGAAATTTACAAATTCCAACGCTTTACAAAATAATGCGAAGTGAAGATATTTGATTTTCGTAATTAAAATTTTATTTTCTAAGCAATAAACTGACTTGGAGGGACATCCAGCATTTGACGGTGTTGACGTCGAAGAGGAATTCTCTGTTCGACGCGAAGGGCCGTTTCCATTGGACCATGAATGGAGTCGGTCTGGAATTCAACCATCTCTTCGGATTCGGGGTGTTGGATGCTGGTGCCATGGTTGCACTATCTAAGCAATGGAAATCTGTACCACCTCGTTACCATTGCGAAGCCGGGACAATTTCAGAATTGCAGTAAGTCCCCAAGACAAAATTCTCGAGCGTAAGCTGACGTTCTAATCGTTTCCAGTCAAATTCCATCGCACAAGTCTCTGATCCTGAAGATAGACACGAACGCTTGTCAGGGAGACAGCACCGAGGTGAAGTATTTGGAGCACGTCCAGGCCGTGCTGACGGTGAACTCCACGCGTCGCGGCGACTTGGAGCTCTTCCTCACGTCTCCGATGGGCACCAGATCGATGATCCTCTCCAAGAGAATCAACGACGACGACGGACGCGACGGTTTCACCAAGTGGCCCTTCATGACCACCCACACCTGGGGAGAGTATCCGCAAGGAACTTGGCTTCTCGAGGCCAAATTCAACACGGACAATCCTCAAAGCGGTTTCGTGAAGGAATGGTCTCTGATGCTGCACGGAAGCAAGGAACCACCGTACACCGACCTCAATGTTCTTGATCCGCACTCGAAATTGGCTATAGTTAAGAAGGCCCACGAAGGTAGAATGCAGATGTAATTCTTCCTACTGCTGCTGCGACGCACGTACATTTCCACTCTACCTTATGTAAGATTTATCTCGAGGAAACAAATATGAAAAAAAAGTATTTATATAACTTTAATGAAAAATGAGACAAAACAAAAATAAATTAAGTCCCTGCGGTAACTTTGATTTTACCTCACTTATTGCACAAATGTAAGTAAACTGCACCCACTATAAACAAAACAAACAACAAACAAACCAAAAGTTTAAGATGAGATTATTATATAACAAATATATAAATATTAATTTTATTTTTTACAATATTAACTATTATATCAAAAGCTTTAAACCTTTAAGAAAAAAAAAACAAATCCTATTATACTTATTTTTTATGAGTACTTATCTAAACTTATAGATTATATGTGTAAGTAAGTAATTAAGTAAGTAAATAAAATATATTATTATAAATAAGTGGCCAAAAGGAAATATAAAGCCACCTATGTTTATATTCGATATATTAATATTTTATTTGCAGTTATATTTACGTTTCTCCATTTTTTCGCTGTATAGTTGCAATCCACAATTATTGGAAATTTTCCACGGTACCTCAATTATCTTTAAAGGCACATTCAATTTTGAAAACCCAATTTTTTCCCTTGTAACATATTTAATTTCTCTATCAAATCACAATTTCTTCGTTTTTTTTTTCAAAATACGATTATTGATTTTAGACCGATCCATGTGAATCTGAACACTGATGGATCTTCGCGTGGTTTGCTCATAAAAATCAGTAAGAATCTCACAGTTTCCAATTTTATTCTTATATATTGGTACAAATACATTAATTGTATATTTTTTTTTTCTTCAATTATAATTGATGATGATATTTGAATTTGATCTAAAGCCGAATTAGGTTATTCTTTACATCTATACCTCCAGGTGTGTATGACCTAATTTCCAATGCCGATCGACTTATTTGTTTTTAAAAGTTTACTTATCAATCTATAAATTACTTATTTTAAGCTAATTTCAAAATGCATACTTAGATAAGGTAACAGGAAAACCTTGGAAAATTTTCAATGCCAATTTACGTTCTTAGTGAGATTGTAACATTCAAAATGCTATCTGGTGACTCATCTATTATAAAATAATTAAATACATATTTTAATCCTAAAAAAATATTATATAGTCTTAAATAACCTTATGTAATATAAGTGCGTGTAATTGATGTTTGTCTGACGAACAGAAAATAAATATGTTTGATTTTCCTTTTCTAAAAAAAATAATATATATGTAATGGTAATTCGAGGAGAGGATAGAAGTATATACAAAAGAATCAAGTACAAATATTAATGAGATGGATGCAGTTTCGTTATTATATAGTAAAAATTTATCGATATTTCTACTCATTATTTGGCAAACTTAACGTATTAAATTCTCGTTTATTTTTATACAACATACTTTCACGCTGAAAATTTGATGACAGATCAATCCTTTCTAATTTTTAAGTGCATAGGAGAGTCGCAGATCAAAAAGTTTGTAAACGCTTTTTTCCCTTGCAAACAACATTTTTGTTTGCTGTTGAACTGCACTAATTGCTTAAAATTTAATTTTTTTTTGACGGTTTAACGAACCATTAAAATTTAGGTTGAGAAACGCTTTGTTATAGAAGACTTTGTACTTGAAATTAAAATTATAATTTTCAACATTACCTCCTATAAATACAATTTGTTTCAAAAAGATCCTGTTCATCGAATTCGGAATTATTTTCATCGATGTAATTTTATTTTTTTTTTCTTAATAACTTCTTTCAAATAAATCTCTTTATTCAAAACTTCAACATACTTCTTTATAACATCAAATGCTAAAGAAATACTACATAATTTTTGTAAGACCCTACTGTATCACACAACTGTAGTAGGTGTAAAAACAATGTAGACACTTGCAACCTTGTTTTCAACCATGCACGTGCATCCTTGATCCATTTGTTTTTTAAATAAACATCATTAGTTTGCTAATGTTGTATCGATTCTATCGCATAGCTTATAGTTATGAAACGTGGTGTAAAATTAAAATTTAATTATCTAAGTTCCTACGAATTGCGAAATGGAATTCACCATAGGAACAAAAATATCGGAACGTTTAAAATGAACATTTTTATGGCATATTTAAAACGTGTTTTAATTAAAACATAACTTTGAAATAACGACAGATGGACGTTATGCGAAAAGTCACATTTTTATATGTTACAATTTATTTTTCTTTTTAAGCGAATTGCTCATTATTGCTCAAATTTACATTACAAATTACCTCGATCGATTAATTTAGTGCATTTTTTCATTCATGGATACTTAAGTATAAATATTTTTTCTAATAACTTTCTACAAAATAGAATTAATAGCATGAAATACAAAGGAAACACTATAAAATTTTAAAAATGTGATCCTTTCACCTTTTTTTTAGAGGACAGGAAACCTTACATAGGGAGCATCTGAATGAACTTAATGTGCTCCAACAAATTGCAAGGGTTCAAAACTCGAACTTTGGCAGGAAAAGTTGCAAAAAAGATGTTTAGAAATGTATCAAAAGACCAACCATTGTATGATTGAAAAGAAAGCAATTAATTGTGGATCACAACAACATTTAAGTCCTATGCTTCAGCAGAAATTTGATCACTATTTTTATTTTATTAATACAGAAAATCAACGGAAGAATTGTCTCTGCAAATTTGAGAGGAATTTATAGAATTAACGTTAAAACTTCACTTCGCCAAAGTTCCATTAGATGCTTTTTGGATTTTCGTACTGGATTCTATTTTCAACCCCATATTCATGTGAGCAAAGTTTTTAAAGGTCTTGGACCAAGAACTACGGGTTGCGATGTTAAATAATGAGCCAAATATAGAACTTTTATGTTCATTAAAACATGCGCAGATATCGAATTAATTAGTCATTATTTTGTGTTCTTTTCATGTATGTTTGTTTACGTTATCAATTTTGGTCATAATGAGTTGCGGAGCACTGCCATAGCGCATGACATCCACAAATATATTTAAACCAACTTATCTTGGCCATTGGATAAGTCAAAAAGTAAACTCATAAAAACATGCAGCGAACATTATTTTTTTCTATGTTGCTTCGTAAGTGCAATCTCTCTTAATATAAAAAAAAAATATGTAATAATTATTCATTTCTGGGAAATTCTATTAACAATATTAATGTTAATTAATGTTAGTTAATAGTCTCTTTTATATGTCATTGCCAAGAACTAGTTATCCAAGCTCAGCAATCTTTTCAGAACGGACAGTGTTTTTATTTAATATTTACTTTAAATATACTATATCATTTAAAATTAGTTTCAGCAAATTGTAGCAAAAAATGCAATTCCAGAAAGTACGATCAAGATAGCATCGTTTGCGTCTGTAATGCAGATTATTGCGATACCATCGACCCTTTGGAGCCTTTACCGAAAGGTGAATATGCTGTGTATACTTCGGATAAAAATGGGATGAGATTCGAGAAGGTTTCCAATAGATTCACGAGTTTGACCAATCAGAAAACGGTGAAAATCAATAGGAATAATCGTTACCAAGAGATTATCGGTTTCGGAGGAGCGTTCACAGATGCAACCGGCATAAATATCAATTCGTTAAACGCAAAAGCCGGAACAAATTTGTTAAAGTATTTAAATTTCAGATCAAAATGCGCGAATTTATTTATTATTATTTTTTGATAATTTGTAGATCATATTTCTCCAAAGAGGGAATTGAATATAACATGGGTCGTGTTCCCATTGGTGGGACCGACTTTTCAACGCACGGATATTCGTATATGGATGATAACGAAAGCATTGAAACGCACTTTACCGTCCGCAATTTCACTTTGGCCAAAGAAGATTTCAACTATAAAGTAATTGAACTGACAACTGTGTATGTTTTATTGTAAAAATTTAATTTTTAGATACCGTTAATTAAAGAGTCCGAGTTAATTCTTGGACGAAAATTGAAGTTGTTCGCTTCTGCGTGGACCTCACCGAAGGCGTGGAAAACCAACGGGAAATATTATGGACTCGGTTATTTGCGTAAGACGAATTTCCAAGATTGGGCCGAT